ATAAATTAAGAAAACAATTACGCTTTTTAAGAGCAAATGTTTTCTTTTCGTGTTAAAAAAATGTTCAATTGACAACAATTAATCTCTTTTCGACCATAGAGACAAGCTAATTTTCGTCCTTTGAAAGATGAGAAAGGAAAGGCAAAAAATTAATGAGGCCTTGTGCTGTCAGCGGTAATGGACACTTCACTTGTTGCCGAGATAATGAATAAGCGGAATAATTAAGGGAGAGTAAAATGCTTATAAATCACGGCTCAAGAGCGCAATCAAGCGCCTTAAATAATGCATCATTTATGCAAGCCGGCTGGAGTTGAAGGCACGCAATTAGTAAGCAAAAATTTATGTTAAGTAGAAAGGATATACCATGTAGTAGCGAATTTATTCATAGCTGCGAATAAATGATGTTCTCAGCATTTCTGAGGCATCTTATTTGCTTTCTGGTCTGGATTACTACAATGATGGAAAAGAGTAAAGTTTACAAATTCAAAGGATATTATGGGCCACAGCATTACCAAAATACGACGTCAATTAGAAAGATGAAATACTTTCTTAAATAAATAAATTATTTTTATTATCTTCACTGGTTTTAACAATATTTTAAAAGCACTTAATAAGCTTTATATTTAGTAATAAATATATTTATAAGACTTAGAGGAGTTTTTTTTATAAACAACTTGTAATATTACTATATAATTTTATATAGTATTAAGTGGCATTTAAATTTAGTATGACTGAATAGACTGTCTTTATGACAGTATCGCTATTTTTGGTATTAAGTATTGGCATTTGCTATAAACAATCATTTTTCATTTTTAACAATTTCAACAATTCTTTTAAAATTCATTTATCAAATGTCAAAGGATTTTTAATATATTAAAAAATTTTAAAAATTCTTTATATATGTGTAAAGCGAAATAAGTACATAGTTTACATAATATGAACTTGAAAAAATTCCTTCTGAAGAGAAAAAAAATTTGTTTCTTATTAACATTTCAAAATAAGCATTCCGCTAAGAAAAATTTGAAAGTATCAAATTTTTACTTTGTTGTGTTAATATAAGTACCCACTTAAATTCATTATCATAATGACGTCATTATTTTAAGCCAAAGTACCGCAATTTTTGAGTGCAACGAAAACGGAAACCCAAGTACCTCATCTACTTAGAACAGCAGAAGTATGTCCTTTAACATGACAATTTCATTATAACTCTCGGCAACCACTTGGAATATAATTTTCCCTCATTTGCAAGATTAAAGACAATGCAGAGTTCGCAATGTTTTACTTCTAAACTGAAATCTCATAATAAGTGAGCCACTACAAACAATTTTCCTGAATTAAATTTGTATAACTAAAGACAGGTAAGGACGGAAAGACGCTAGTTATTACCAAAATGGAAACGAACCAAAATAATTTTATGAGACAAGATAACATAACTTTTTGCAAATTTAATTTTTCAATTTTATATTTTGTGTCTTAACATATCTGTAAGATGAGAATTTAAAGCAATATTGACAATAGAAGTATTTAATAACATAACGATTTTATAAAGTCTTTAATTTTTATAAAAACAAGAAATTAATAGCATGACACTATTTAAATCAGCAATAGAAGATATTATTTTGGGAATGTTTTATACATATGTTTTATATATAGTTTTTATATGCATTATACTTAAATTCCAATACTTAATCTCCAGTTATGCTAAATAGTTATAATTGTCATTGTATTTTACAGCATAAGTAATCTGAAAAGTATTATTAGCCTTTAATTAAATTAAGTGAATTATTAATTAATTGGGTGAATTCAGTATTTGTCTAAGAGCATGAATTTTTAAATTAATCGCAATGCATTCACCAAGGAATTTTAAAAATAAGGTACATCTATTATATGACTTGACTCATGAGCCCTGCGAATACAATGGAATGAATAAGATATGACTTGACTATGATATTACACAAAAGTATAATCATCACACAAGTAATCGTGGTTAGCTGGACTACAAAGAATCATTTGTCTGAATTTCACCGATGATATGACTACTACCTATGGTAATGGTCTTGATACAGCGCTAGACTTACTTCTTTATGATCTACAAATCTGAAAGGTAGCAATGAAAGAGACTTTGAGACTCAAAATAATGTATGACAAAATGAAAAATAGAGGTCACAGGCAGATACGCCTTTACCTATTGGATCAAGTTGTGGGTGCTCATTATGCTTCGGCGAAGATATGTTTTCTTATTTTCAAATTGAGAACAATGATTAACTTTAAGGATTTAAGTCTTCGATACTGATGGTTCCAAAGCCCGCACTGATACTGAATACAGAGAGTGATTGGACTATGAGATCAATAGTTTCTGTTTTTACTACTGGAATTTTGACGCCAATCTTCTTAGTGTATGTGTATGACAAACAAATTAAGAAGAAATCTCACAAGAAGTATATCTGCTAATACATTGATAGTCAAGAAAGCCGAAAATTCTTGTCAACCCCATAAGTACTTAATATATGAGAATGTATGATCAGAGAATGTAAGATTGAGTTGAACAATGTTTCAAAATATCACAAATGATAAAACGGTTCCTATTCACTGCAGTAGCATAGGTAATGAATAGACTGTTGACTTTGTTTGTGAAAAAACTGCTAGAACACTAATTAAGCCGAACCATAATTTTCAGTGGTAACTTTACGAAACTCCTTTGTTGGGTGAGAAATTCGTGGTCGGTACCCACAAATAAAGATCTAACGAAACGATTTGTAAACAAAGCTGACAGCAGACTGGTGAAATTTCTTATGTAATTATTGAGAAACAACCTCTGAGTTTTGATCGGTGCTTATTATAGACGCACCATGTCTAGTATAATTGGGAATATGTGATTTCTTTTTGTACTGAATAGTTTACTCACATATTTCTCGGTTATATAAGGACTTGCTTAGCTATAAATAATATAAACAATTGCTCTTATGAAAAATTGATAATTTCTGAAAATGAAACTATGTACCACGTTGATCAATAATCTTTTTAATCAAATATTCTCTATTCTACTACCATATAAACTCATTTATGATTATATTAACAATCCTCGCTATTGAAGTTACGTGTAAAGTCTATATGTAGAGGTAGACCTATATTGTATATGTTAGAAATGTGCCAGTTAACAACTTATATAAATGATATAAGTGATATCTTATCAGTAAACTTTATGCTGTTTTTCTATTCCATACTCATTAACCTCTTCATAGCTTTTTATCTAGAGAGTATACAATACAAAAATCAAGGCAATTAACTTTAATATTATTAATTGTTATTAATTAATTAATTAATCTTTACCTATTTAAAGTTTTATGCTATATTTATGTTTTAATTTAAATTAATTCTATTATTCATAACAAACGGCATTTTATTCAACTGTTACATCTTTTATAAAATATTTCTTCTCCTGAAATATATAAAGGAATATATCCTTTACAATTCCGTCAAACCTAAGTTCCTGTAGAAACCTTAGTTGCTTTGCTCTTCGTTTTATCTTCGTTTATTTATTTTTATTTATGTTAGATTTCATTTCATTTCAGAACGTTTTTGTTATTTATTTTAGTACCTTTTTATATTTTCTTTTATTTAGATAAATGAATTGTTTTTAGTATTAAGTAAATTAAAAATAAACAAAATTAACAAAAGATACAAAATGAAAGAAGAACAAAAATCGCATTTTTGGTTAATTTGGATTCAGGTTCGTAAAATTAAAATTATTGCACTTCTTTTATTTGCACTTCTTTTATTTGCACTTCTTTTATTTTTAAAATGTTTTCTTAGTAAGTACTATAATAAATACTATAATTGCTTAAATTATCTAAGATAGGGAAAAATTTAAATCCCTCAGTAAATAATTTCCTTAAACCACTCCGTAATAATCTAAATGACTTTAACATTTTTGTACAATCATGTATAGTACTATATTTAATGTTAATGTATTACGATTATTTTATGGGACAACATTGTATGGGATAACACCGTGCTCCTTCGCATGTGTCAGTGTCCTTCTTTACCTAGAAGAAGATTAAAAATCTTCGGATCCCCTTTTCCACGTTTATGGAAGTGTCGTTACCTTTTTTGACGTTGGCTGTATACCTATTTAAATCTATGTACGTGCCAATGCTATTCCTGTGGTATCAGAATGGGCCATCATATGAGCTCAATTGGGCTTTTTGGAAACAAGGCCACCACTCCAACCTCCCTTCCTACCTAAGTGTACCTCATTGAAGTATAGAGTCAAGTGTTGGTGGTCTTATATTCATATGCATGTAAAACTGCAACTTAAAGATGAGTTGATAAGCGCTTAGAAGAATCAGTTATTACATCCATTCGAAATCTACAGTTTCTTAACAGATTTCATGTATGATGAATATTACTTACTTGTAACATTACCATTATTATTTAGATATATATTATTTGATAAAGTTTAAGTCAGACTAGTCAGATCCACTAGGGATCGCCAGTGTAACCTAACCTAACCTATGATATGATAACCTATGATAGTAATACTATGATATTACTTAAATCTATAATTAATTAGCTTTCCGATATTAATTTCATGATAAAATGAAAATTTTAATTAAGCTTATTTTATTCCTTATATACAATTCAATGATATTTTTTAGTTTTTATTTGCGAATTCCTGTTTTTATTTTTGCATTCTTTTATATTTGAAAGAAATGAAAAGCGAAATATTCGAAAGAAATATTTAATTTTAAATAAACAAGAAAATAAAAATACAAGAAAAAAAATTTATTTATGGCAAAAACTTTTTAAATCATTTTTGTTTCTCCGAAGTCAAGTAAAATACGAATGCCATTAAATGTAAAAATAATAAGTCAAAAATTAACACAATCCAACAACTGTTTTTTAAAGATGTTCGAAAAATTTGTATGCAAATTACTTTAGAATACGAGTAAGTTTTTGCTTATTAAAGTATGACTCTCTTCTTCCCGATTCCATTGCAGAATTTTCAAAATGACTGGACGCGGCGTGCAATCCGACATAAATCTGCTTCACGCTTCGGTACTTTCGATGGTGGAATTCGATGATGATATTTTTGCAGCGGGGAATTGCTTTGATTGGAATGAACATCCCACACAGCCGGGATTATTTTGCCCATTCGCTTATCGATTGCCACCACCCAATTTGGGAGCGATACTCGCCAAGAACTTGGCTACGGAATATCATTATTTGGGAAACACATCGGAGTGGTTCTTTCAGGCGCGGAAAAATGCCGAAAAAGTTATTGCACGCAATGAGCAATATTTGAAAGGTAAGTGTGGTTTTGGCTGAACAGTTCCCTCCCATGGACGGTTCAATTTATTTTATATTTTCATTCATTTCAGTTTTGTTTTTTTGTAATTCAAAATAGAATTTTTTTATGCTTTCAATGATTCAAAAAAAAGTTAAGATTTATAATGAAACTTTGGTGCCGGTAATAAATTAAAATTAAAAAGCTATTTCACTGCACAACTGTGGTCCTTAAAAAATATGCTTAGAATTCTTCATCTTGGATTTTATATATACTATATAAAAAGTATTTCATTATGAAATTATTCACAGTATATAGAATTCCAATTAAAAGCTACGCTTTTATTATGAATTAATTATATCAGTATAAATATGAATGTTAAAAATGTTTAATGTTAAAATCTTTACACTTATAATTTTCATTAAGGAAAATATTTACAGTGAGGTTGAAACCTTTAAGTTTACCTCCAACTTATTATTAATAAACTTTTTATGTTTACTTAAGAAAATCAGGTTTTTAGTGTTGTAAATTATCTTTCTCGAATTTTGAGGCGAATTTAATCATTTTAAAAGTGTTTAAAGAATTCATTAACAACACATTAAATATTTAAATGAAATTGTATTTATTAAATTAAAAGTGTTATAGGCTGTTAACATTATCTGCTCAAAATAACAAAAGGCTTATATATGTTTATGTTTTCTAATGCGGCCCATAAACAGAAAGAATATAACATAAACGAAGTGCTAGCTTTTAGTGGAGCGATAAACTGTGACTTTACATCACGTGCTTCGAATAAATGCCAGTGTCAACTATTGAGGATACCTGATACCTTAATATTAGGAAAAGACAAGAACTCACATCTCCTATAGCCTCCCATAGTTTCCCACTGTCTCATATCAAAGCTGGAGAGACACAGAGCATATGACTAAAGAACGTATATGCTACAGTTGACATTGTGTATCGTCTGACCCATCTGTCTAGTTAAGATTTTTATACCAGACAAGATGCTACGAGGGCGGTTTGATAAGTCCGTGACTTTTTGAATTTCCCGCGCAGTTATTTCAAATGCAACAATGCTGCCGTCAGCTGTAATCTACCAGTAGGCAAGTTTTTAATTTTGAGTAAGCTACGTCGTTCAGTTGGAGTTTGATAGCCGTTCAAAGCAGACAACCTCGTGAATTTTTACTGGCCAAAATCCACGAATTGGGTTACGAACTACTACCACATCCAGCATATTCTCCCGATTTAGGGCCGTGCGACTATTTTCTGTTTCCAAACCTAAAGAAATGGCTGGGCGTTAAGAGATGAGTTGAGTTGAGTCGTTGAGTCGAATGAAAAAGTCATTACCGAAACAAACGCGTATTTTGAGAGCTTTGAGAAAACCTATTATTTGGAGGGAATAAGAAAATTAGAATAACGCTGGACTAAATGTATCGAGCTAAAAGGTGATTATGTAGAAAAATAAAATGTTTATTTGCCGAAAAAAATTTGTTTTATTCAAAAAGTCACTGACTTATCAAACCGCCCTCGTATATATAGTAATTTCCCAACAACAATGACATTGCATAACTTTTTTGTAAAATTGGACCCAAGAAAAGTCCTTTACATATAATTAGTAAAAATATGCTTAAGAGATTTCTCTACAAAAAGAAGAGCTTTGAAATAAAAATAGGGAACCTCAAGAACTAACTTTCAATAAGGCTGTGATTTATAAGCTCATTTGAATTTAAAAAGCATGACAACTACCTTGGTTAATGTCGTTTACAAATAAATTGACACAAAACTTGAGCATTGAAAGTTTAGGCAGCCTTGACTTCTTGTGAAAGAATCCGACTAGTTATTATATAGTTTCCAATTTGGCAGGCACAAGTTCTAAGCCTGGCATTTGCAGAAAAAATGTTGTATGGTCAGCCAAACGTCAATAAATTAATAAAATTTTTGTTGTTGTTTCGTCATTACTGTTCGAACCCTTCTGACAGTCTTTTCTGTTTTGCAACCTGTTGATCTATAACCCATAAATCAATGAAAATATATAAATGCTATAACATCTTTGGAGCCTAACATCTTTTAATAATCATTACGTTATGTACACTACTACCTCTTAAAAGTTTAATATATATTTTTATGACTTAAAAGCAACTTCCACAAATCTGAACACGATGGAAATTGTACAATTTTTTTGTAATAGTCCTTAGCAGTTATTAAACTCAAACATGCTGTAATAATTGCTCAATGCTTTCAAGTATATACAAATATTGATTGTGATGGTTCAGTGTTCTTCAACTTCCTAATTTATTTAAGTGCTTATATAACTGACTCTAACAGCCGCTTGACTTGATAATTTATTACTCTTATATATTATATTTTACTCGCACCTTATCCACTCACCTTGTCCACAAGCGGACTGTGATGGAATCTGAAAAGTAGACTAGAATTACAGCTGTTGTAGTTCAACAACTACAAAGCTGTTGATTACTGATCTAGCAGAGATACCATAGGTAAATTCATCAAAATTTATTTTGAACTTTATCTAGGTGACCTATTAATTTAAAAATATCATAAATATATCACAAAAATCCTAGATCTAATGCTACGATTAAATCAAACAATTTATAATTTGTATATAGAATATATTTTAACTTCTCCTAGTCAACTAAGGCACTTTAATCGTGTATTGAGTATTACACAATTAAAACTGAGATTAGCAATATGTTTCCTAAAGAATTCGTACTTTATAATCAATCAGGAATTTATAGCGGTTTTATTGGCCAGTTGTCAATTGTCAAAACAGTGTTGCCAACTTGAAAATCGAAACAAAACTCAATTTTCTCAGTGACTTTCAAAATCAATACAACATTTATGCTTTTGAGTTAAAATTGATACGCTTTTTTTAATTCTAGTTTTTACCTAGATTTTAAGTGTCTGTATGTATGAATGAAGAAACCACATTTTTTTTTGTGATAAGCTTTGGATTCACCATTTTAATGAGTTCTAATAAATTTCAGCTATACTAACGTAGAAAAACGTCTACTCAGTTTTAAAGAAAAATGTGGTTCTTGACCATTAAAAAATGTAACTTTCTGACTCCTTGCATTTTACCTCAAATCTTTTGTGTGTTCTTAATGTTGGAAATTTATCATTTTCTATAGTCTGTGCCTAATTCTACCAATGAAAAATTCTTCTATATATTACCACTTAAATGAAAATTACCCATGCCAAAAACAGGAACTCACGCCATTTAAAATGTAAATGAATTAAAATGGGAGAAAAGAATTTTAATTAGCAGACATTTTTCTGGAAGACATAGTAAACATTGCTTTCCGTAACTTTTAATTTTAATTAGCCGGAGCGAAAGGAACAATAAAGGCTCTACCGTGCCATTAAATTTTACTACTATTTTCTATTAGTGCATGAAACTAGAATAAAGTACAATAAAATTTTGTTATATTTTTTTTTAATTATTGTTAAAATATTTGTTAAAATTAAATATAACAAAACGAAAAAAAAATGCATAAACAAATGGAATGATGTATATAAAAACTTAAAATAATATAAGCGATTTTTAAAAAATTTACAAATTTTAAATTAAAATTATTAAATACTTAGTTTTAATAGGAACAAACCTTTAAATGGAGAGATATTAAATTTTTTTAATTTAAATTAACCAATATTTTAAATTGCTGTTTAACATTGATATTGATATTGACTATTAATACTTAAACGAAACTTTTGTAATTAAGTATAAGAAATAATTTCGAGACCACTAATGATGAGTACTTGGCAATACTCAAAACAGCGTTGTAGGGTCAGCCAAATACAAATAAATTAACAGAAATTTTTGTTGTTGTCTTTTCATTTCTATTAGAACACTTCTAACTACAACATTATATTATGATTCACAAAAGCTTGCCGTTTTCGTTGTTTTTAGTCCAGTTTTCAAATGAATTTCCATTTCCACAAATGACGACTACTTCTTAGTATAGCCTCCGAAAACTTTAATACGCAAGGATCCTTCAATTTGCAAATCCCATCTCTATAGTGGTTCTTTTGAACACGCTTAAAATACTCTTCGACAACAACTATTTCTTTTTAATTTGAACAGAAATTCTGCTGTTCAAAGTTTGTTCTTCTAACTAATTCAGCATAAGAATAGTGCAAAAAAGCAATAGTATCTTTTAACATTTACTTTAGATATAAAATTATTTAAAAATTTAAATATCTTAAAGATGTGGAAGTTTTTAATGTAGTCTTATATTAAAAAAATTATTAAATATACTAGAAATTATTTTAAGATGCAATTCAATATTTTTATTAACAGATTCAGCAATAAAAATAAAGGGAACTTCAAAACTATAACCCAAAGGAAATATATAAACTCAATTTATCCACAATAGAGTAATGCTATTGGTTAACCTAACCCAGAATTAGAATTAAGCCTAATTTTAGCATTCAATTATATTCTTATTTCGA